TGGGAGTGACCTCAGAAAGAGGGCGCAGAGGGAGAGCGTGGGGCCATGCTGGGTCCTCGGAGGTAGGGGAGGCGGGTAGGGGCTCGAGATCTGAGAGGAGAAGCAGGTTACAGGTTACAAGCGCCGTTTCCGCCTTCCCGTAGTCTGCCGTCTTCAAGAGAATGGTTGTTATATTTCCATGCACAAAAAGTCACCACGGGAGAACTTCAGATCATGTATGCTAATATGAAAAGGTGCAAGATATGTCGTTCATGAAAAATAGGAGGAAAAAGTTATTTTTAGAAAAGTATTTTCCCCATGAACCCACTTTTAAGGAATGGACACAAGCATGCATGTGAATATGTGAGTTGGTATTTCAATGGATATATGTAAATGCCTATATCTATATAGATAGTTTATGGACATACATAAAGAGAATGAATCTGGGAGTGGGTCTGTGAGGAAGGCATTTATTTTTCAATTAATTCCACCTGGTGTGTGTGTTTTACAGTGAGCACACACTACTTTCAGGACTCTTTTTAAAAAGGGAAAAAACTTAAGGCATTTTAATAATAGATAAGACTAAGCCTTGTAGCCTCTCTTTGGAGAGGAGAGACGGGAGGTTGTTGGCCCGAAGCGCACACACAGGATGTGAGGGTGTGACCCGAATAAAGGTGCGTCAGGTGGTCTGAGGCTTTTTTCCCGTAGAAACGGGCCTGACTAGCTTCTCTTGGGTTGCCTGGTGTCCCCCACCGTACCTGCAGCCAGAAGGGATCCTCTGGTGTTGGTCTGCACAGTTCTGACAGTTCTGTGCTTAGCCAGTTTTCACTGGGTAAAGGCAGGGATCTGGTGGGTTACTTCCTTCTTCATTTGCCTATAAATCTGGGTGTTGAACCCAAATGGCATTCTATTTGACATCCTAACAGAGTAAAAGATACTGCAACTTGGGAGTGAGCCAAGATTTCTTAGTTGGGACACATAAAAAATTGACAAATTGGACTTCATAGTAATTTAAAACTTCTGCTTATTAAAAGGCACTAATAAGAAACTGAATACACAAGACATGGACTGAGAAAAACTACCTCACAAAGGACTTCTATCTCCAAGATTCAAAGAGACCTTCCAATAGTAAGAAGTTGAATAGTTCCGTTTAAAGAATGGGCACAAACTTGAACAGGCCTTTCTCAAAAGAAGATACACAAATGACCACTAAATACATGAAAGGATGCTCAAAATCCCTTTTTGTCATTAGGGAAATATGAGTTAAAACCACAGTGAAATACCACTGCACATCTACGAGAAGGGCTAAAATTAAAAATATTGGAAATTTCATCTGATGACAAAAATGTGGAGCGATTGGAACTCTCACACATGGTGCCTCTTAGGAAAAAGAGTCTGTCAGTCCCTAGAACAGTGATTTTCAACCATTTTCATCCAGGGCTCACATAAACTAATTACTAAAATTCTGCATCACACTCAAAAAATACATTTTTTGCCAATTTGACAAAATTAGGTATAACTTCGATTGATTTACTTTTAAAAAGATGATAATTACCTACTGTTTTTGCTCCAAAGTGACTTTTTTAAAAATCAGGTGCCTGTCCTATATAATAAAAGCCTAATATGCAAATTGACCGAACGGGGGCCCGGAAGCGGGCAGCACCACCCGATTGCCAACCAGGCCGAGGGACCCCCTACCCATGCCTTAATTTCATGCACCGGGCCTCTAGTACTTGTATATAAGGACTTCTGGTTCCAAGAATTAAACCATCAGATGCAACTTTATTATGCTATGTGCCCAATAAGATGCTACTCTGTTATGTGACCTATATATTTATGGTTCAAGACAGGGCATTCACACCGGACAGCTTTTGTTGTGTTGGCTGTTGTCATTTTTTTTTATTTGACAATCTAAGGGAAAAGAGGTCAGTGCCCCTGCCTAAATAGTCCGGTATTGCAAGTTTTAAAAATTCTGCGGCCCTCAGGTTGAAAATCACTGCCCTACAAAGTTAAACATTGACTTACCAGCAATTACGCAAGGGAAATGAAAACATGTGTTCATAAACGATTGGTACAAAAGTTCATAGCAGCTTTTTTTCTTTTTTAAATCCCAAACTGGAAGCAATACAAATGTCCACCTGCAGGTGGACAGATAAACAAATTGGAGCATAGCCACACAATGGAATACCACTCAGTAATAGCAGTAATAAGGAATGAACCCCTGATACCACATCATGGATGAATAACAATGCCAATCTAGCAGTTGCCCAGGGCAAGGGTAGGGATGACTGCAGAGGGGCTCAGGGAACTTTGGGGTGATGGAAATCTGTCTCTTCGTTGTTCTGTGTCTTCATTATGGTCATGCTAACACTGGAGTGAAATTGGTCAGAACTCAGTAAGCTATACACCAAGGCTGGCATCACTGTGTCCCCCAGGAACGCTGCCACTGTGGTGCCAGTGTACACACACTTGTGTAAATACATAAGCATGTTTTCTCAGACCACGTGCAGTTCTTATGCTTGCCAATCCACCTGCCAACGTGTTGGGAGGCTGGGCATCCCGTGCCTTGCCTGCCATTCCATTCTGTGCATAGCATTTCATATTAAAGCTTCTGTCCCCCCTGGAATTGACCCAGTCAGGATGGAGAAGTGGGGCTGTGGGAATTGATCATGAATGAGCTTCTGAGAAGACTGGGTGATGGGCCTACCCCCAAATGCCTGCAGACCAGCAGGAGTGCTGAGGTAGCATCAGGGGTTTTATCTGTGGCGGCCAAGGGTGTGGCAAATCTGGATGGAAGGAAGGATTGGGGGACTTGTCCTAAAGCGTCGTTTTGCTTAGTTTGTGTGTTCATTTGGCTTGGGTGGGGTCGTGGGTGGATGTGATGTGGGTCTACAATACTCAAGTTGTCCCTTAGGTTCTGCGAAATTCATGGGAGTGTTAGTCATACTCTTTTTGTTTAAGGCCTCTTTCTCTTCCTTCTTTCTCGTTTATTTCATTATGCCTTTTACACCTCCCTCCTGAGGTCCACTGTGACAGTGAAGAATATAAACCCTGACTCCTTACCTGTGTTTTCTCTTGTTCTGCCCCCTCTGAACCTCCTGGTGGTTCAGGAAAACTCCGGGTAAGAGTCACCTGGGGAGACGGGGACACAGGGACACGGGGCCAGGCCAGCCACGGGTTGCGGCGGCACTTGCATTCTCAAAGATGGCAAAGAGCCTACCTTGCTGAAAACGAACAGGTGTGTTTTCTCAGCCCTGAGATAAGGAAGGGCCCTTTCCAAAAAGAGGGAGTAGAAAGGGGAAGCGTCATGCCCCCACAGCATCTCCTGGGAGCTGCTTGCTCCCCTGAGGTTTGCAAGGTGCCAGCAATACCCCAAAACTGCAAATTCTGCATCTTGGCAACAGGCCCTGTGGGAAATCGAGAGGGCGGGGCAGCGGGAACCCTGGGAGCAGTGAGTGGAACTGTTAAGTTTTTCAGTTCATCCTTCAACTGACATATATTTCAATATCAGTGGGAGCCATGACTGTTTTAAGAATTTCACCCCAGGAATTGCTAAACAAGTTAATTTACCTGTTTCTCATGCCATGTACCTATTAAAATAAACTTTTACTCCATCATGGAGTGTAAGTAACGGGCCTCCTGCAGGCAAAATAGAAAAGGGCTTGCAGAGTAAAAGCTCCTGTCGTTTTTTTCCTTTTGAGACATTGTCTTCTGGAACCAGCGTCATCTATATTATTAATCACTTGTGGGGCTTTCTACTGCTTCCCATTGCTCCCTTGGAATTAAACTGCCCCTATAAAATATGAAAAATGTACTTTTTAAACAGTAAAAAAGTCATTTTCTAGCATAATACCCCAAATAAAGTGCCATGGAGCCATTAGTAGTAAATTGAATTTTTTGGTGTGTAATTTGTACAAAAACTGACAGGTGCAATCCCCACTCTCCCCCCACCGTTCATCATTGGGTTTCGGGGAATCAGAGGTAGCGATCTGCAAGGACAGGCATTCTGATGTCATCTTCAGTTGCACACTTCATTTACTTGGGCAGGTCACAGGCGGCGGCGGCGGCTTCTGTCACTCGGTGCCACCGCACTTATTAGCGAATCTCGCCCCAGGGCAGCTGGGACGCTGGGCTAGGGCAGATGTTCTTTTCAGCCTATTCAGTGACCATTCTTGGGGGTTGTTTACTGTTGCCATGGTGACTTTCATTTCCATAGCAGCCGCGCTGCTGTTTCTCAGAGGAAAATGAATTTAGTTATAAAAGGATAATATTTTTCTCTGTCTCTGTATAACCTGCCATCTGTCGACCGGTGGATCAGTAAGGATTCAGAAACCTATTAAGAATTACAGCAATGAAGTGATGAGGATTTTTTTTTTTTTGGTCCCATATTAAAAGCAATCATAGATCTGGGAGCAAACATTGTGCTCTCAACATCATAACTTGGATTTTTTTTATATATGTTTTAAGCGTGTTTTTAATGCCTTCACCACTGCTGTACACGCACACACATACACACACAATCTCATAAAATGCAACTTAGGTTCTGCTGACAAATGGAAATGACCAGCCGTCTTGTGTGTACCGCACTAGATGCAGGTGTATGTAATGCTTTCTCTTCCTGGTGCTGTGAGCTTCCCCAGTTCATTCGAGATTCCTGTGGCTGAACTTCCTATTGTCACCCCAGTCTCCTGCGCCTGCACCCAGGGAACAAGCTGTCGGGGTGCATGGGTCAGCCCCGTTATCAGGAACATACAGTGCAAATCATGAAACTAGCAAAATGAGAAGAGAGACCATGCTCTGTTTCAAAAACATAAGAACCTGCCCCTTACATCTCTTTCTAGAATACCTTTCTCCCTCTCAAATCCAAGTGGGAAGAAAGTCACCTTGGGGATCTAGCTCATCAAGTTTCGGGGCTTTTTTTTTTTCTCTGTTGCATTCATAAACTAACGTGCAGGGGGAAAAACCACGCACACACACCGGCCCCGTTGTAAATAATGTTATTTATTGGTTGACTTTTCCAGATCCTGACATTGATGCTGCCAGTGCCATGATGCTTTTGAATACTCCCCCTGAGATACAAGCAGGTTGTGAGTAGCTATTTCTATAGCCTTCAGCACATAGTTTGTGAACTTAACCTTCTCATTTACATACCAGGCCATAGGGAGAACTAATGCTCAAGTAGAACCTCCCTGCAGAATCACTTTAAGACGACCTTCGTGCGTGATGACACACACATGCATACGAACACGTGGCCGTGCATATGTGTGAATGGAGGCTTAGGTGTGTCTCCACGATGGCAAAGTTCTCATCTAATTTCAGAGCTTCGGGCTTGGGGGAAGGGAAGCAGGCCCCGTAATGAGTCCCAGCGGAGAGGCCTTCTCTGCGCCTGCAGGGATCGCTCCTGCGAGTCTGTGGTTTCTACGGGAGACGCTACGTGGGGCCAGCTTAGCAGTCCTGCCGCTGAGCGGTGCCCATTTTTAGAAACTCCTTCCCTTTGGGATCTCATTAATAGCAGGCTACCATCGTATAGATGGAGAGAGGGTAGAGGGTCGTCTGGCTGAGGCGGGTGTCATGCAGGAGCTTGGACGAGCCTTGAAATGGACCCCATGGCGCCCCAGCGTCATCCGCACCAGCCTTCCTGGCTGCCAAGGGCAGGAGGGCAGGGCTGATTAGCCCAGCAGAGCTCCTGTCCTCACCTTCTGTTGGCCGTTGAGCAATATTAGGCTTGAGACAACTCTCCTTCTTTGAGCTTCTTTTCTACCCACCCCCCTTGTGTTTTTTCCCCCGTACGTCTGGAGCTAGACTACCATGGTTTTAAAAAGATCTTCTTGCCAAGGGATGAAAAAGGGCCTTGCATGGAGATGTCTGTCCCCTCTTCCTTCTGGCTTGAGATGAGTTCCTCTGCCCACGTTCCACCCCCAGCCAGAAACCTGCTGAGCAGACAGCCAGCTCGTCCGCCAGGGTCTGCTCAGCTCGTCGGCAGGACGTTGCTGCGCTGCAGCCTCCTGTAGAGGAGACGCGCAGGCGTGGAGATGACAGCGTGAAGCGTAGACTCGGCCAGGACACCAGGAGCTGGTGCCTACCCGGCTCATTCTTATGGCCGGGCCCTCACCTCTGTTGGGGCTCTGGCTCTCGAAGGATTGCGTGGCCTCCTGAGCAAAGGGACTCCCCCACTTTGGGAGTCAGTGATGCTTCCCACAGAAAAGCCTCCAGCCTCGGACCCCAGCAGGCTGCCTCTGTTACTAGCGCCCCGATGTGGGGTTCCCGGCATCCTCCCCAGCCCTGCACTGTTCACAGCCTGCCACCAGCCTGAGAAAGTTTGATTCCATCCCTTCTCACTTGTTCCTGTTTTTTAAAAAGATCCAACATACATAGCCCAGTTTTCTCAGGAGGGACTTGTCCCTCCATCAGGGGGCTGCCCTTCCCGGCTGCTAAAGGCACAGAATTCTCAGTCTCTCTTTGCTAAGCTCGGATTGTTAGTGATGGAAACGCCAGGCTGCCCACTCCTCAGAGCAGCAGACACGCTGCCCAGGGAATGTGTACCTGGCAGTTGACCTGTAGTGTGGTTTTTCAACGATGTGTGTAGTTACAGGAGAATATTAACACGAAACACCGCCATTCTCAGATGACATTGCAGAAAGGGCACAGACCACGTTGTAACCAAGTTACAGTCTGAAATGGTTTCTAAAATCAAGTCACATAACTCATCATGGGGGACACATACTGACTTCCTCGGAGCTGTGAGATTCCAGCATCTTCTTTAGCATCCGGCCACCGGTCATTGGTTTAAAACAAATACGTTTGACGAACTGGAGGAATGAAGTTAAGAGGGAAAAGGCGCGGGATTGGCCATTGGCGGGTCCTCGGAAGCTTCCCTCTGGTCCCATCGTCGGGTTCCTGACCACAGGAAGAGCAGGAAAACGGTTTCTTTTTTTATTAGTTGACAAGTGAATGGCTTTTAATGTTTTCATGACTAAATGAACTTGTCCCCTCTCTTTCACTACAACACTCAAACTGTAAATAGTTTTGTTTTTTTTCAAGGTATCCATAGCCTCGTTTACCTTGAAATGCTGAATTTGAGTTTTCAAAGCTCAGCGTCCATGTGTTGAGGCTGTCGGCTCATTTTCAGAAGGTTTTCCTGCCTGTTAACACTGTGAGACGCCCAGCACACCGTCATGAAGGCCTCACACCACACGGGGGCTCCACGTCCCGGAAGGAGGAGCCACGATGCCCACAGGAGCCATAGAAAGAGCAGCAGAGGAATAATGTAAAGGCAGAGGGTGGGGCCACCAGCTGTGTACACCGTCCCCTCTGGCCCCAACCCCCGTAGCGTCCCCTGGAGGTCAGGGTAGAGCAGTGTGAGTGGGCTGTGAAGCTCCAGAGATTGGAGCCTTGAGTGTCTTCTCCGTGCACTGGGGAGCCAGGCTGGCTGCTCCTCCGCCTCCTGTACCCACAGTCACAGGTGTCCGTGTGTCCACATCTGCTCACGTAGCTCTTCTCCGCCTCACTCTTCCTTTGCCTCCCTTTATGTTCATGTTACGTTGCATAATGTTTCTTACCTGGGACGTGAGACAGCACCCTGCCTCCCAGAGGGAGAAGCGTTAGAGACACAACACGATGACGCCTCCGTCCCCTGCCCAGCCAGCTGTGCCCAAGGCCTAGAAAAAGCGAGAAGGGATTCCTTGGCAGAACGGGTCCGAGGCAGCAGCCACCGGCCAGCCTGCTGGAGTGCGGGCAGCCCGCCTCGTGGTGTGTGTGCGTGTGTCACCATGTGGATGTGTGCATCATCCAGCCTCGGGTCCTGCCACTGCCCACGTGAGGGAGTGCAGGCTCCTGCCTGCACACCACCTGCCTGCAGTCTCCCCGGGCTGGGCTGGGCTGGGCTGGGCCCGGCTCTGTTTATGGAGCCTCCTCATGTGCCACTATTTATAGCCTCTTGTTTTCACCTCCTAGCTGTCCGATGCTCCTGTGCGAATGGGGCCACCAACCTGGTCTGTCTGCCGCTGTCACTCCCAGCCCTATGTGGCTGGCCTGGGCGGCCTGAAAGGCTTTCCCTTTCTCATTGCCCTTCGTAGCCTCTGCCCTCGGGTCACCAGACAGCAGCCACTTAGAGCGTTTCCTCTCATCCTGCCCTTGCTCGGCATCTGCAAAGCCAGCTCGGGGCTGGCAGACTGGCCACGGTCCAGCATCTGAGCTGAGTAGGTCAGAGAAAGAAAATGACTCGAGAAGCTGGTGAGAGCCCCAGTCAGCAAGACCCTTGATCTTTGGGGATTCCCTCGCTGCCCCCGGGGAGCTCCGCGCACCGGGCATCACTTGGGCTGGACTCCCTGTGGGTCCCTCAGCCTCTCAGTGCAGCGGGTGCTTCACTTCCAAAGAGACAGCCATGCCTCTCATTAAAACCTCAGGCTCCAACATTACGTAGTGGGCCATTCCCACCAGCAGACCAGCAGTGACATTGTCTTTTTCATATGTTGCCAGTTTGCAGCCTGGGGAACATTCTGTAAGGATGCCACCGTGTCTCCCATGCTGGGTAGGACACTCAATAGGACTCGCCTTCCACAAACATCAGGGCAGAACATTGCTGCAGCATAATCTCCTCCACTCTGGGTTATGCTTCTAGTCAGACCCATCCAAACCACCCCACCCCCACCCCCACCCCAAAATGGCCCTGTAGACTAATTCCAGCTTCTAGTCTGCTAAGCCCCGGCGTGGCTATCCCCTTGACAAGCCCTGTGAGTCATCTGGAACCCCACTCGGGGAACTGTTTGAGGCCAGGAGTCAGATCACCATTACTCATCTTCAAAGACTTATCTAATCCCTGGTGGGAATGTTCCCAGAGAGGAAGTCCAGAGAATAAACACAACAGCAAAGCTGGTGCATTCCGCTCCCTGCCTGGAACCGGGAACATACCAGACCCACCGGGCATCGGGGAAGAGAGACAACCAGGAAGTCAGCTCCCCTTGCAGGCGCCTCCCAGCATCCTTCCTTCCAAGTGAGCAGGTGGTGGCGCCGACTTCAGGAAAAGGGAGGACTGTTGATCACCTGGCTGCTCGGCTTGTGGCCTCGGGCAGCGTTTGCCAGGGCTGCCCTCCAAGGGCAGCAGCAGGAGCTCAGGTTAATTTTAGAAGCTGCGAAAACCAAGGAAGCGAAGCATCAGGGGGATGAGGAAGTGTGGGGGGTGGGGGGCCGCTTGGAGGGAATTTGTCTTGTGCCACAGACTCTTTTTTTATCAAAATGATCACATGCCGATGCTGCTGCTTGATGTCCTCTCTTTTGGGTGTGAGTGTTGCTTTCTTGCTGGTTAGAAATCAGTCTGTTAACGTAAGAGAAAGGGGTGGATCAGCCCAGGTGCTGATGTCCTTGGCACCTGGTTCCAGCAGGTTGAGAGTCTCAGGTGTGTGTGTCTTCTCACCTGCAAACACCGCACGATGTAGCGAAAGGGATGGTGCTGGAGCCTGTGTCTTTTCCTGCGAGAACCACAGACCCGAGCTAGCCATTCCCGTTGATTTTGAATGTCCAGTTTCTTATTTCATCTTCTCTAGCTGCAGCCTCGGTGTCACCCAGCTCACGCGGGGTGCACTGGCTGTAAAGTGCTTTATGTGTTTTTGATAGACTTTGAGGGAAACAGAGTAAAAGGAGCAGACAGGGCCGAGGATTGGGCCTCATGCTCCTTTAGGATCCCAGAATCAAAACAGACCTCAGGACGCCTTTCTCACACCTTGACCTTAACCTGCTTGTGATCCGTCTTCCGAAGCCGTGTTCCTGACACCTGGGATGGGGACAGAAAGGAGAAGAGATGGGGAACAGTTCCGAGTCACAGCTGGTCGCTGGCAGGCAGAGAGCAAATGGGAACACATGCGCCATCCCTCCGCCAGGAGCCTGCCAGGGATGAGGACTGAGCGATGCCGGGGTTGGCAGAGGCAGCGATCCATTGCAGCTCATTTGAGAACGAGCTCAGGATTCTGAGGAGCCTGGAGTCTTGGGAGGTTCAGGAAGTAGCGGAGGGGAAGCCTTTTGATGCTGCGGGATAGCTGTGTCCTGAGATTCTCTTTGAAGTGAATGAGGTTCGTTAAACAGGAGGGTGTTTTAATGGGTGAATGCAGAGGTAGGGGTGACTACAAACAGCATGAGAGGCCAAACGGATGTCCCCTGTCCTGACCTGGTCAGGCCCTGTGCCTTACAGATCATTGATAAGAGGATGCGAGAGAGGTGAGGTGGGATGTTGGGACGATGCGCTTATAGGATGGGCCAGCCTCCCAGCTAAGCCATTTATGTAACTTGTCTTATTTAATCCTTAAAACAGTCCCGTGAGACTTGTTTGTGCATGTTTACAGGGGAGGAAACTGAGGCTCAAAAAGGTTGAGGCACTTGCCCAAGGCCACAGAGCTGGTGGTGGGGCAAGACTTCAGGTGGCGGCCCTGCTGCCTCAAGTGTCCGCCTGCCGATGCAGGATCCTTCATCCATGAAGGCAGCAATGAGACGAGGAGCGGAGGACCCACTTCCTCAGTTTCCCTTCCTGTTGGGCATCAGAGGATTCTGGGCACGGGCACCGTTCTCGGGGCTGCTTTTCTCTCTGACTGGCAGGTGATTCAGTGGTTACGCCCGAGTCCCCGAGAGCACGCGCTCCGTGACTCCCATCTGGTCTCTCTTCGTTCCAGGCTCCCCAGGCCTTGTCCCACGGTGACAGGATATGGACAGGGGAACAGAAGCCACATAAGAGCAGTTGCTGCTCTTTCATTTTAGGGTTTGTTTTTTGTTGTTGTTGTGGGTGGGTATTTTTATCCCCACCCGAAGATACGTTTTTATTGATTTGAGAGGGAGAGACATCCATGTGAGAGAGAAACATTGATTAATTGCCTCCTATACATGCCCCAGCCAAGGATGGGGCTCCCAACCCAGGTAGGTGCACTGACCAGGAATTGAACCCACAGCCTTTGGTGTACGGGACGACGCTCCAACCAACTGAGCCATTGTCCAGGACTCGTTTTGTTCTTAACGGGCTTTCGGCTCACGGGTCACTTCAGGATTGCTCTGTGGGTGTTGACTGTGTTGGTGATGATGATGATGCTGACAACTAATGTGTGATTTTCTAAGTAACGGTGCCTTCATTAACTCAGTTAAATCTCCAAATACTCTGTGAGATAAAGACCAAATTTTGGCCCCATCTTAAGTAGCTTTTTCAGGGACACAGGCAGCAAATGACAGATGGGGTGCATACCCAGGTCGTCCGACACCAGAATCTGTCTCGTGGCCACGGTGTGTAAGACCACACTCCTCCTCAGGACGCTGTAATGGTTTTCACAGGATCTGGGGGATACAATCCAAACGCATCACATTCCTGCTAGAACTGGCTGCTTTAGCAAAATGACTTTTTCATTCCTGCGCACAGTGTGCTTTTTATCACTTCCAGGCCTTGTATGTGTTGTTCCTCTGCCTACAGGAAGTCTTCCCAGATACCCCTTACTTTGGGCTAGGTGTCTCCTTCTTTCATGTCTTAGTGTATTTTCATTGCCTCTAATTCTCTTTCCGTCCCACTTAAACTGTGGTGCCGCTGTGTCCCCTTCACCCAATACATACCCAGGTACTTGTAAAAGATGGAATGTATTCATTGCTATGATCTGTATATGGGACTGGGATAATTTTTACTGTCAGGAATGCTAACTGTGCAGGCTTTAAATATTTATCGGGGGGTCTGTTCTATCAGACTCCTGCTCTTGATGAGGTCCCTAGGGACGGAGGTATTAGGCAGTGTTATCAGAATTAGACTGTGTTGCTGGTTATCCGAATATACAGTAAAATGATTACGAAATCCTTTCCCTCTGTCTGCAAATCCCAGAGTTGTTCTGGTTTTGCATGTCTTTCCTTGAGAACTCTCAGTATTTCCCCCTATATTTTCTTCTCGAAGTTGTAGGATGTAGTTCTTACATTTAGGTTTATGGTCCATTTCTAATTAACTTTCATGTATGGTAAGAGGTTAAGATCCAGGTTAACTTTTTCCTCAAAAGGCTCTTCAATTGTTCTAATTCTCCTTTCCCCCATGGTGTTGTCTTGATGCTTTTGTCAAAAACTAGTTGACCAGCCTGGCTCAGAGGTTAAGTGTCAACCTATGAACCAGGAGGTCATGGTTCGATTCCCGGTCAGGGCATATGCCCAGGTTGTTGACTCGATCCCCAGTGTGGGGTGTGCAGGCGGCAGCCAGTCGATGATTATCTCTCATCATTGATGTTTCCATCTATCTCTTCCTCTCCCTTCCTCTCTGAAATCAATAAAATCATATTTAAAAAATAAAAAACACCAGTTCACCACATGTATGTGGGTCTAGTTCTGGATTCTAGTTTGTTGCATTGTTCTCAATGTATATACATCATAGGGCCTATGACATCATTGGCCTATGACATAGGCCAATACCACACTGCCTTGTAGCTTTATAGGAAGTCTTGAAATCAGATCATATAAATCAAGTAATATAAATTTTAGCCCTCTTTCTTATAGAAAACTCATCAACTAAGCAATTTATAGTAATTAGCTGTAGTATCACATTATAACCGGTTTCATGCTTTGAAAATACTCGGTGCATCTCCTGCTTTAGATGATCTGTTATCTGAAATCTGGCTAATAGAAAGGGGCAGGTAGGAGTTCTTGATCTGGTCAAGCCTAATGTCACAATTAAATATGTTAAGAAACAGCACTGCTTTTAATTTTATCTCCCTCCCCACCTTTTGTAAAACCTAGTAGCCAGAGCCTTACGCACGCTGGCATGTGTGGCTCAGCTGGTTGGGCGTCATCCCATGCACCCAAAGGTCGCCAGTTTGATTCCTGGTCGGGCACATGTCCAGGTTGCAGGCTCAATCCCCGATGGGGAGCATGCAGGAGGCAGCAGATGATGTTTTATTCTCACATCAATGTTTTTCTCTCTCTTTTCCTCTCCCTCTAAAAATTAAAAAAAAGACAAATTTTAGAAAAAGAGCCTTATGCACACCTGTAAGACAAATGACAGAAATACTAGCACAAGCTCCAGAATGCCCAAGGAATCAGTCTATAATGTTACTCCATATTCAAGAGTGGAATTCATCCTACATGGCTAAAGGTTTAGAATAGTCATGTAAGCATGTTCTTAGAGACCTAAAACTTAAATAAGTGAAAAGTATGTATGTGTTTTGTAAAAAGGGTTTGTTCTACACAAATGACATCGGCTTTAACAACTTAATATCCAGAAAAAAAAACTATGAACAAATTCCTATGCACACTGCACATATCTTATTTTGAAGTAAAAAAAAAAACAAAACGGGAACAAATACAATGTTTGTATTTGCATGTGGCCTGCGGGCCGTAGTTTGAGGACCCCTGCCGTAGATGCGTGGAAGGGTGCTGACAGGTGCCGTGAGAACATTAGCTTGAACCAGGTGAATCTGCTGTTGGGGGTCAAAAATATGTCAGGAGTCGGGGATTTCCTGTGGTTACCCTGTTAGGTAAGCCCTCAGACAAAATCAGGTGGTGGGAAGCCACTGTGAATGTGTATGGAAAATGGACAGGATCCGATGGCTGTGGGCGAGAAGGTTGGCTTAGGGTGGGCTGGGTTGGGCTGGGTTGGTCAGAGAAGGTGGACTGTTAAGAGGACCCAGGAGGTTTGGTTGGGGGAAGGACCAGGTGGGGCCCTCGGAGTGGGCTCCGGGCGACTGAGGCAGAAGCCAGAGCCTGGCCCTCAACCCTGCGTTCCAGTGACAGCTCCGGGCAGCGGGCGTGAACTGTATTGTGAGTGCCTGGGTGCCAAGGACCTTGTAGAATCTGCTTTGCTGTTATTTCTGTCTATTCCCTTGTTGGGCTGAGGATAGGAAGGTGTTGTCAGCCTCTGACAGGATGGGTGGAGATGCTCTTGGGCACCTGCATTCCCTGGCCAGCGTTCCTGAGACCTTGCGAGGGCCTGGCTAGAGGTGAGAGCTTAGATTTAGTAAATGCAAGCAAATCATGTCTGAAGCCCACTTTCCCAAACTCGGCTTTCTTAACAAGGCATCATTTGGTCATAAGCTGTTGGTCTCACCTGGCTGACCGAGTGTCTTTTCTTGAGGCGTGCTGTCTTTCTGCCGCTCACTCTCTTGGCATCTTCGTGAGTCTCTGTCTCTGTGCTTTTTTTCTTGGCCTCTGCTTGCTCTCTGTTCTTTTGACTAACTGCTTTTTTTTCTCTCTCCCTCTCTCTCTCTCTCTCCATCCAAAACTTCTGACTCAGAATGAAATCTTCACAGTTGAACTCACCTGTGGTGTCTTCTTGTCGCTCTTGCAGTTCCGCCAGGAGTGATACAGAACGGAGCGCGGGTTCTGAGCCGAGGGCTGTTCCCCGGAGTCCGGCCATTGCCAATCACTCCCATCGGAATGACGGCCGCCATGAGGTAAGGGGGGCGCTGGCTGGAAAAACCCTGCGTGGGGGGGGGAAAAGGGCATCGGGGCCCCTGCAGGCCCCTTTTGGGGGGGGGGGAGAAAAACAGCCTCTGGGGGGGAGAAGACAATACCCCTGGTGTGGGGTTTTTAAAAAG